TGGATGATGCTGGAAGCCATTATTCTCAGCAAACTAACGTGGGAACAGAAAACCAAATACCACATGTTCTCACTTATAAGTGGGAGCTGAACAATGTGAACACATGGACACAGGAGGGGAACAACACTTACTGGGGCCTATGAGGTGAGGGTCAGGGGGTAGAGCATTAGGGAACAAAGCTAATGCCTGCTGGGCTTAATACCTGGATGACTGATTGATAGGGACAGCAAATCACATGGCACATGTTTACCTATGTAAAAAACCTGCACATTCTGCACATGTACCCCAGAACTTAAAAGAAAAACAATAAAATAACTTAAAAAAATTTTTAAGACTCATGTAAATGTTTCTATAGTGTCTCTTATGAACATACCATCATATAGGTTTTGAGTTCATTTCCATAAGAAACATATTTTTACATGAGGTTTGATTTTAATATGCATTTACAAAAATAAGAACATTTTACAGAGGACTACTTGTACTACTGTATGTCTTCAATGTATATTTAATTCAAAGGATGGCATTTTTAATAAGTATAAAGGTCAATGAATCATTATCTTATTAAAATTCAGTAATATTTCGTAACATATATGGTTCATAATTGATCCAACTGCTTCCTGTTGATAAATTTTTTTACAGTTTTAAAAAATTATGCAGCCAGGCATGGCGGCTCACATCTGTAATCCCAGCACTTTGGGAGGCCGAGGCAGGCGGGTCACCTGAGGGCAGGAGTTCGAGACCAGCCTGGCCAATATGGTGAAACCCTATCTCTACTAAAAATACAAAAATTAGCCAGGTGTGGTGGTGCACACCTGTAGTCCCAGCTACTTGGGAGGCTGAGGCAGAAGAATCGTTTGAACCCAGAAGACAGTGTGCTGAGATCACGCCACTGCACTCCAGACTGGGTGACAGAGCAAGAATCTGTTAAAAATAAAATAAAAATTATGCAAATATTATACTACTGCTATTTTTAAAGATTCCACAAAAGTAATTTCTTTATCTTTGCCACACATGATTCAATGATCTTATATTCCTACTAACAAAACTTCTACAAATTAACATATAACATTACAGAAATTATAATTTTCTAAAAGGGATTATTTGAAACAATAAAGTTTTAATAATGGGATTATGAGCTAATAAACATGAAGAACATGTTGCTTATAGCTAAAATAGTTCATGTCAATTATTATTTAAAAACATTACCCTCAGAAGAAATTCTCGTATACTTTTTATGAACTTTCAGTTTGCGTCTACTGCCACGAGAACATCGTGACATTGCTTCTTAGATGCAGCTTTCCTAGTTGCTAGCTATACGCATGTACCAACTGCATAATCCCCTAAATTGGAACCAAGCAGTGAAAAAACTGACAAGTGAAGGGTGGATGTTTTAATGAGATTAATGAAACAAAGGTTTTGAGTTTTTCTTGGAGGATGAGAACGAATCTCCAGTAACATACTTGAATCTATATTACTGTGGACTATGTTTCTCAGGTTTTTGATGAATCAGAATAGACATTAGCCCAAACAAAATGGATGCTAGATATGTACACGGTATATGGGTATATCAGGACACACCAATCCAATGTAAGTGCTGGCTCTATGACCATGACAAATTACTCAACCTTTCCTTGTCTTGATTTGACTTTTCCTTGTCTTGATTTACTCAGCTATAAAAGCAGTATCTATATCATTAAAGTGTTTTTAAAGATTGAATCACTTTCTTGAAAGCTATATAAGCACTTAGTGCCTGAAACAAATTAAACTACACAAATAGTAGCTATTGCCACTGCTTCTATTATTAAGAAAGTTTCTTTCTAGAAGCCATGTAATTGAAACTATTACTTCAAGTAATATTGATTCAAGTTCAATATCCCTAGATGCCAAATATAAAAAAAAAAAGTTTCCCCTCTAAAATTATCCCTCAGAAAGGAGCTGCCTCATACCTGAGAATTTACAAATGTATTATGAGGTTCTTACACTACTGCTTCATTTTGAACCATAACGTACCCCAAACATGGGAAACTCATTACAGACAACTTCAATAATGCTAGTTATGGATGCTTAAAAGGAGTCACACATCACAGTGATAAAAAATGCCATTTTAACTAAGCCTTTAGAGAACACTTTTTTAAAAACAGGCACTATAGGAAGATATAGTCCTGTATCTAAGAATGGCTAAACAGACAACTTAGAACAACCACCACAGAGAACTAGAAAACCTGGGAAAAAGCTAAGAAACCTGTTTGAAGGCATTGGAGAGCTAAAAGAACAGTGATGAATTATGCAGGCAAGACCCAGAAGCAGCAGTAAATCTAGAAACCAAGAACTCTGATTGGCTTTTGGAATTGCTTTTCCAAAATGTGTTAATTAGAAAAGAGGAGGCTGAGAGGCCTAAATGCTGAGTAGAGCTTTCAGCAAATTCACAAAAATGCAGTAACAAAAGGTGGAGGGTCAGGATCCACCAAAAATTACAATCCTGCTAACTGTTCTAGTCTTTGGTTTAAAAGATGAAGTCTATATTCTGGGGAGTAAGGATGATCAGATTAAAGCCCAGCTTAAATCATCTCAATCCATAATTGAGATGAGTAAGTGAACTCAAGGTTGTTGAATCCCTTCCCTAGAACCCACAAGTAGAACTAAATCCATCATCCAAGGCTTCAAACTAGCTCAACAATTTATCAGAAAGGAAATGGGTATCTTTAAGGGTAAGGATACTGTTTCCTTCCGGGAAGAAAAGCAAATTATTAAGTGAAAGGTATCAAGAGGAGGGCTTATGAAGTATACCGATAATTACTGTTTCCCAATCTAGGTATTTGGTACATAGGTGTATTCAGTTTGTGAAAATGTATGAATCATTTGCAGTATATATTTCTACTTCAATAAGATGTCTTTAAAATATGCATAGAAGAAAAAAAGACAAAACTATAAATATAAACCAAGACAAAATCTAGAAAATGAGCTTGGCAGGCATGAATTTTAAGTGAACTATATTATGAACTGGACAATTCTGACCTCCCACAAATTCATATATTGAAATCCTAGGCTGCGTGCAGTGGCTCATGCCTATAATCCCAGCACTCTGGGAGGCCAAGGCAGGTGGATCACCTGAGGTCAGGAGTTGAAGACAAGCCTAGCCAACATGGTGAAACCCTGTCTCTACCAAAAATACAAAAATTAGTGGGGCATGGTGGTGTGTGCCTGTAGTCCCAGCTACCTGGGGGGCTGATGCAGGAGAATCATTTGAACCTGGGAAGTAGAAGTTGCAGTGAGCCGAGATTGTGCCACTGCACTCCAGCCTGGGTGACAGAACGAGACTCTGTCTCAAAAAGAAAGAAAGAAAGAAATCCTAATCTCTAGCGTGATGGTACTATGAGATGGGGTCTTTGAAAGGTGATTAGTTCATTAAGATAGAATTCTCATAAATGGAATTAGTGCCATTACAAAATGAAACTTGGAGAGGCTTCTCGCCTTTTTTCCATCATGTGGAGAAGATAGTCATCTATGAACCAAGAAGTAAACCCTCACCAGACACCAAATCTGTCAGAACCTTGATCCCGGACTCCCCACATTTCAGAACTGTGAGAAATAAATGTTTATTAAGTCATACAATCTAGGATATTTTTGTTATAGTAGCCCAAACTGAGACTATAAAACAACTATGATTAATATGTTCAAGGAATAAAGGGGTAAAAGAGAGCTTTGTGGCAGATAATGCAACACAATAGAATTTTTCAAAAAAGTCAGATATATTTTTACATGATTTTTATATAAAGCACTACACTTTCAGCAACCACTTACAGAGTTCTTTAAATTCAGTAATATTTTAAAATGTCAACCTAACTGATTTTACCTTTGTAATACTTTTGACATATCAGATAGAGGAAGATTTGTGCTCTCTTAGAGATAATATAGCCCAGATACTTAAGTAAGTTAAGTGGAAGAATCAAGGTTTATATCTGAGAGAACTCTGAATGGTTTAAAAAATAATCATTCTTATTTAACGTGTTAAATATATGATGAAATGAATTTGACTTTCTCCTTGTCCAGAAACAGAATAAACAAATAAGATAAACAAGATATATTAAGGAAAATGTTTCATCTGATTAAGAGTAAAAATAAAAGAATTTGAAAGACTATGAAATCTACTTTACAGTAAGTTTCCACTTACTCCACTTGATATACTAACCATACTTCATATAGATAAAAGATAATCTAGTATCTAATTTTAATATTCCTCCATTTTTATTTGAAAGCACTTTTTAGAAATATTCTGTTTTTAGTAGAACTGCTTGATCTTCTGAGCTTATTCTATACCCTCAAATATATTTCTTGACTAGAGACTGATATTAGGCAATCTCAATTAATACATCTATGAATTTGAAACAAAGTAGAAAAAACCCTTATGTAGCTAAAATGGCTGTTATGAAGCCTTAAGATATTATTTTATACATGAAGCCCTTATTTTTAGTATATTATTCATATCATTTCAATCATCTTGATATTCTGATTTCTTGTGATACAGATAATAAAAAACATAATTTAAAAATAAAACAGTAAACATTATATTTTCCATTGCCAACGGACAAGAAAAATGTGTTTTACAAATGCATGAAAAGGTTTTAGAAAATCAATTATTACACATTTCTACTGAGCCTACAGAAATGAGGCATTATCATACAGGGGGTTTCTAATTTGTACTAATTAAAATGTTTTATATTGTGGTATCAGTTTTTCTATATAGTCATTAGTACTGCCAACATTGTTCCAGTATAATACTGATATTACTATTACAAAAAGACAGAACCATTTGACTGAAATCTGACTAAGAAAGAAAGCATTACTTATAAAGCCATAAAATCTGCTCTTTTACATGAAAACATGACTGGTTCTAGAGCTTAGGCAGTTAAAATAACTAATAAATAAATAAATGAGGGAGAATTGATACATCTTTTTTACAAAACAATTCTAAGTAACTATGCTAATAACATGTGAATGAGTACTCAAAGTTTGAAACATATTTCTATGACAGCCTTGTATCCATATTCCAAGGTAACGTGTATCTCCAAAAATCCACATAGAAGTAAAGGTGCTGGGCCGGGCGCAGTGGCTCACGCCTATAATCCCAGCACTTTGGGAGGCAAGTGGATCACAAGGTCAAGAGATCGAGACCATCCTGGTCAACATGGTGAAACCCCGTCTCTACTAAAAACACAAAAAATTAGCTGGGCATGGTGACGCACGCCTGTACTCCCAGCTACTCGGGAAGCTGAGGCAGGATTACTGCTTGAACCCAGGAGGCGGAGGTTGCGGTGAGCTGAGATTGCGCCATTGCACTCCAGCCTGGGTAACAAGAGCAAAACTCCGTCTGAAAAAAAAAAAAAGAAGTAAAGGTGCTTTCCAACGCAAAACTATTAAATGACTCTAAAAGGAGTTCTCAAAATATCTCTAAAACGTATGTGATAAAACCATCTCATAAAATGAGTATAAAATGTTCTACTTATAAATGAATGTTTTATTTTCCACGTTTAAAATATGTACATGTATGCAATAAAATACTACCACAGAATACTTTTTTCATGTTTCTTTTAAAATGTATATTTAAACTGGACCAAAAAAAAAAAAAAGCATTTAAAAAATGGGGACCAACTTATACTGGAGAAGACTTTGTGGTTTCTTTAAAGTGAAGATATAAATACGCTCTCAATAGACAGAAGTGAATTATATGATATCTAAAATTTTACATGAAATCTTGGAATGGGGTGGGGTAGCAAAACGAGAGCAGCCATGAGCTGATGAACAATGTAACTATGTGATGTATACACAGGGATTCACTGAACTGTCAGCCATACTTTTATGTATGTTTAAAGTTTTCCATAATTAAGACTTACTATAAAGCTACACATAGCAAGACAGTGTGGTATTTGTGAAAGGACAGATAAAAACATTAATGGAACAGAAGAGAAAGCCCAAAAACAGACTCTCATAAATACACCCAACTGCTTTCACAAAAGAGCCAAGACAATACAATGGATAAAAGATAGTCTTTTCAACAAATGATGCTGGAATAAACAAAGAGTCACATGTTAAAAAAAAAAAAAAAAAAAAAAGAATGTAGAAACAGACCTTACACCCTTCACAAAAATTAATTCAAATGGGTCACAGACTAAACATAAAACACAAAACTATAAAACTTTTAGAGACTAACATAGCAATCCAGGTGACCTTGGTTATGGCAACTTTTAGAGACAATACAAAATACATGATCTCTGGAAGAAATAATTGATAAGTTGGACTTCATTAAAATTTAAAACTTTTATATGCAAAAGACAAGATCAGAAGAATCAGAAGACAAGCCACAAACTAGGAGAAAATATTTGCAAAAGACATATCTGATAAAGGACTGTTATCCAAAATATACAAAGAGTTCCTAAAATTCAACAAGAAAACAACCCAATTTTTTAAAAAATGGGCTGAAGACCTGAACAGATATCTCACCAAAAAAGATACACATATGGCAAATAAACATATAAAAACATGTGCAAAATCATGTCATTAGGGAATTGCTAACTAAAACAAATTATATACTACAACACACTTATTAGAATGGACAAAGTCCAAAAACTTGAGAACTCCATATACAGACAAGGATATAAAGTGATAAGAGCTCTCATTCATTGCTGATGGGAATGCAAAATGGTACAGCAACTCTGAAAGGCAACTTGGCAGTTTCTTACCAAAGTAAACATACTGGTACCAAACAATCCAGCAATCACACTCCTTAGTATTTATCCAAAAATCTAAAAACATGTCCACACAAAAGCCTGCACATGGATAAAGCAGCTTTATTCATCACTGGCAAAACTAGGAAGTGCCCTGAATGTCTTTCAGTAGGTAAGTGGTTAAATAAACTGTGGTACATCCAGACAAAGGAATAGTATTCAGTGCTAAAAATAAATGAGCTATCAAGCCATGAAAAGACATGGAGACAACTTAAATGCATATTACAATATAAGTGAGAGAATCCAATCTGAAAAGGTTACCTATTGTATGATTCCACTGATATGATATTCTGGAAAAAGCAAACTATGTAGACATTAGAAACATTAGTGATTGCCAGGCACTAGTGGGGAGGGAGGGATGAACAAGTAGAGCATAGAGAATTTTTAGGGCAGCAGAACTATTGTGTATGATAAAATACAATGGTGTATTCATGTTATTACATATCAGACAAAATTCATAGAATGTACAACACCAAGGCTGAACTCTAAAGTAAATTGTGGACTTTGGGTGACAATAATATTAATGTAAATTCATCTACTATAATATAAAATGTTGATGGTGGGGGATGTTTTGAGTGTGTGGAGGTAGAGGGAATATGGGAAATCCCTGCACTTTCAACTCAGTTTTATTGTAAGCCTGTAACTGTTCTAAAAAAAAAAAGCTTATTTTAATTTTTAAAAAGCAGTGAATTTAATATATCTGAACCTATATCATATAAAAATAGGTCTCCCTCCACTCATGTATGCCAACCACCCAAATGCTAATGAAAAAAAAAATCTGGATAAAATACAGCTTTTCACTTTGCTCTAAAACATTCACTTTCAGAAGAGACAAATGCTGTTACATTAAATATAAGCTTTATGAAGGCAAAAAATAACATTACTCCATGAAGTATACTTTGGAAAAGGCATGGTTTATATACTGTTAAGGTACTATTCCACAGGCTCGCAGAATAAAGAAAAGTGTGTAATTACACTTAAGTAGTAGTATTTTCTATGTATTTTGTATCTGAAGCTCTAAACATAAATGTTCACAAAAATAATAAGAAGTCAGTAACTGAACCCACAATTTTGGATACTGGGGATAATCTTTACTTTTTAATGAGATCTTAAGACACAGGGAGACGTATTTTATCTGAATGAATTTCCTAAGAAATAAATACACACTACAATCTTTTGTCAGTCCATAAGGAATGACAGAAAAATAAAATTTAAAAAAATTCATGACAGTTAAAACTGCATACAGCAAAATATTTTTATGTATAAAAATTAACAAAGCAATCAAACATTGCTGAAAAATAGCTACTTTTGTAACATGTGACCAGTAACAATCGACTTAGTAGAAATAACTTCAGCTTAAGAAACTTCTAGTATTAATAAAACACTTGCACAAATACCTCTTTAAAAACTCAAAACAGGCCGGGCGCAGTGGCTCAAGCCTGTAATCCCAGCACTTTGGGAGGCTGAGGCAGGTGGATCACGAGGTCAAAAGATCGAGACCATCCTGGTCAACACAGTGAAACCCCGTCTCTACTAAAAATACAAAAAATTAGCTGGGCATGGTGGCACGTGCCTGTAATCCCAGCTACTCAGGAGGCTGAGGCAGGAGAATTGCCTGAACCCAGGAGGCGGAGGTTGCGGTGAGCCGAGATCGCACCATTGCACTCCAGCCTGGGTAACAAGAGCGAAACTCCGTCCCAAAAAAAAAAAAAAAAACTCAAAACAATCCCATATGGTAAACAAAGCAGGTATTTACTACGTTTTTCACAGATGAAAGAACTGAGGTACACACAATTTACAGAAATTATCAATAGTCACAGAGATCAAAAGCAGTAGAGCCAGGATTTGAACTCAGGAATTACTATTCTTTACCTGTCATCTCTTGCCTTTATTACCTTGGAATTTAGGGTAGTCACATAAAAGACACTGAATATACCCAGTTGTCTTCTGAATTCCAAGATAGCCTAAAGGGTGCTAGTGCCCTCTCAAGATTTACACCTGGATGAAACAATCTCTGCAGCCTGCTTGGCCTTAGACCCTTCCAAAATGTTTAAAAATGACTTTAATACATCACAACATTCCCATGTAATCTGAGACACTGTACTAGTCAACTCAGGCTGCTACAACAAAATACCAGAGGATAGGTGACTGAAACAAGAGACATTTATTTCTCAGTTCTTGAGGCTTAAAAGTCCAAGATCCAGGGGCAAGTGATTCAATTCCTGATGAAGGCCTTCCTCCTGGCTTGTGGACAGCTACCTCAAATGGTGGAAAGAGAGGACGCAAGCTCCTTGTGCCTCTTCTTAGACGGGCACTAATTAATCCTGCCAGAGTTCCGCACGGCGCCAGCCCTTCCGCCATGGCCGCCATTGGAGAGTAGCAGCCATGGCTTTTTGCTACGCTGTGGCCGCCGGCCTCAACAAGGGCCGCAAGGTAACCAGGAACGTGAGCAAGCCCAGGCACAGCCGCTGCTGCAAGCATCTGACCAAACACACCAAGTTCGTGCGGGACATGATCCGGGAGGTGTGTGGCCTCGCCCCATACGAGCGGTGGGCCCTAGAGTTACTCAAGGTCTCCAAGGACAAATGCGCCCTCAAGTTCATCAAGAAAAAAGTGGGGACAAACATCCGGGCCAAGAGAAAGAAGGCGGAGCTGAGCAATGTCCTGGCCGCCATGAGGAAAGCCGCTGTCAAGAAAAGACTGAGCCCCCTCCCCTGCCCTCTCCCTGAAATAAAGAACAGCTTCATCCCCCCAATTCCCCCCACTCCCGCAAAAAAAAAAAAAGGGCACTAATCCCATCATGGGGGCCTCACTCTCATGACCTCCTCTAAACCTCATTACCTCCCAAATACCCCATCTCCAAATACCATCAACCTGGGGCTAAGTCTTCAAATATGCATTCAGAGGTGGGGCAAACATTCAGTCCATAACAGATAGCGCAGCGATATACTGTGTTACATCTCTCTGACATTGGGTTAGATGCGCCTGACAAGACCAGGATGGGTAGGTGGTTAGTAATACAACAATCACACAGTCAAATTAGTTACTCAGTAGGAATAGAATACATTATTAGAGATGAATTCACTGGAAAAAAATTCATGTTTAATAAAACTTTTAATTTAGTATTTTTCACAAAGAAGAAAAAAAGTCTCCTTCCCCAAAATTTGTGTTTATGTAAAACAACAAAGGATATGCATAGTGGTTTGAGATTTTTTTTCCTTCTGTGAAGAAACCGCTACCGCTGTACACTTTACCTGTTTTGTACCACAGCCCAGTGACCACTATACCACACAGGTGGAAGTGTGGGTTTGAGGACCATTGAACACTGAATCTCCGCCAATATATCACAATTATAGAAACACCTGTGCACAGTAACTTTGTGTTGAGCCAACATGAAAATTCAGTGTTCAATTGCCCACAACACATCTCATTTCTTATGACTAGATACTCAGCTCTAGAATCAAAGAAACAAGCTTTCTGAATGCAGCAGTTTCCAAACTTTGTTACTGAGAAATCTGGAGGATTTACAGTAGGGCATTTTTCAAATTTTCTGAAATAAAATACGCTCATGAAACATGTTGAACCTAGGTCTAAGGGTTTCAAGACATGAGAAATAAGAGTCCTACTTGTTTAAAAACTAATT